CAGGTTGGTAACACGTGGCACAGCAGACCTGTTCTGTCTTTTAAAAAAGAAAATTGTTCCAAGACTTTTCAAATGAAAGATAACATCTTTTTTTTTTTAATTATTTATGCATACAAGAACTGGGGTACAGGCAGGGGGTGGGGGGAGGTGAGAGGATTCACCAGAGACAGTGGGGAACAGAACAGGCAGCTTAATTGAAATACACTGCAGAGGGGAGCCGCAGGCGGGTTGGACGAGGTCTGCCAAGCCAAGGGAGTCACCTCCCTGGCTGGGGATGGAGTTGTACTGTGGTGGCTGTAGATAGCTTCATAGTGCTGCACTTTAACCCATTGCACCGCGAGGGAGGACCCCCCCACCACACACACAATTTTCTATTTGCCTCTCACTGGACCTAATCACTATGCTAGTCTTTGTTTGTTTGTTTGTTTGTTTGTTTTGTTTTCTCCTAAAGTCATCCTCCCTTTAACCTGCTTTTCAGTCCTGCAAAGCTTTGCTTATTTAAACTTGCTATCGTCATGTTAAGAGTTCAGTGCACTCCCTTTGCTCTATGGACAATGGAGGCCAGGTACCTATTGCTGTGCCAGGGGAAAGTGTGTTTTCATTGCCATCTTGTGGATTTTCTGCAATCCTTTGCTTGGAAGTTACTTTCTAGATGTCTCAGTTGAATTATCAGCTCTTCAAAGGCATAAACTGAGTCTTAGTTACCGTTTGTATAGTGCTTTGTATTTCATAGATATTCATTTAGTTGATTTGACAGACGAATACTGATTTCTCTGGAAAAGGTTTTGGTCATCCTTGGAGTTGAAAGTTAGATATCCTAAATTACTGAAGATGTATTCTATTATTTTAAAACATACATTTAAAAAAAAATAGGCTGCCCCCAGAGGTACATAAACAGTTATGAACAAGGAGGGTTGTTGGTTAGTGGCCGGGGAGTGTCAGATAGCCTGGGAATTCACGGCATTACATAGAGCAGGATTGCACCCAAACCTGCTGTTTTGCTTAGCTCTCCCCTCTTTTATATCTTGGCTGTTAAATCAACTACTTTGCATGAGCAAGTAACCTAAAGCATGTTTACTCTGCCTATGAACATTTTAAATTTTATAAAGCAGTCAGGAATTATGAAGTATTTTTATGGTCAGTTTTAAAATCTATACAAAGATTTGAGAAGAGGAAAGCATGTTTAGGATTTGTTCTCAGGACAGTGATCTTACCTGTTTGATGTGCATTTTCATAAGGCCATTGTCATTTAAGTGACTAATCATGGTGTCGTGGAGAGAACATGGATTTAGATTCCATACACACATGGAGTTCTGAGGGGGTTTTGCCACTTCCCCAGCCAGGTGATTGCTCAGTTTATATAGCTTGCTGAACCCTCAGTTTCTCCTTTTTTTTTTTTTTAATTTATGCATACAGACCAGAGGTGCAGGAGTGGTGAGAGGATTCACCAGATGCAGAGCAGGGAGCAGAACAGGCAGATCAATGAAATACACTGCTGAGGGGAGCAGCCAACAGGTCAGGAGAGGTCTGCCACGCCATAAGGGATGCCTCCCTGGCAAGGGATCAAGCTCCTGGTGAAGTGGCTGTAGCTAGCTTCATGGTGCAGTGCTTTTAACCTGTTGCGCCACCGGGGAGGGCCCTCAGTTTCTTCATTTCTAACATGCAGTTAGTGATACCTAATGGAAAGAAAGCTTGTATGTATGTGAGGGGAAATGCATGCACAGCATTTAAAATAGCACCTGGAAAGTAAGTAAGCTTCTGCTCTCCTTCCAGAAGTCATTCTAAACCAGAGTCTTATAAACCAGTGTATCAAAACCTCTTTGAGCCAACTGGCACTTCATTTACACTATATAGAAGCAGAGACCCATAGAGAATCACTGCATCTTGCCAGTGTCTTGGGGAAAAAATTAAGTGAAGCCTCAGGGTTATTATTTTTCCACTTAGTAGTGTTTTATTCAAATAAAGATTCTTAATATTTTTAGTGCAGATGCTTTAATCTTGTTACTTAAGAACAACTTCACCTTAAATATTTCAAATATAATGAGCTAACAATAGTTAAGTTACTTTCTACCACATGTTAATATTGCCCCTGCAAAGATGACTTTGAGCAGACCTTTTGATTTTGTTGCACGGAAACTCATTTATTACTTGTTTATTATTGTTGTGTTTCTTTGGTAATCAATAGCATATAAGTTTTGGAGTGTAGCTATACACCTCTTCAAATATATGATACCACACTGTGCCCACCACCATCCTGTTGATACCCACAATTCTTGCCTCCCAAAATGTCAACTACCATTTTGCTACTAGAATCAAAAGATTGTTTTTGTTTGCCTTGTTTTGTTTTTACTTTATTTTTTTATATTCCACATATGGAATCATGTTATTTGTCTCTTTCTGACTTAATTTACTTAGCATAATCATCTCAGTCCATCCACAGTCCATTGAAAGACTTCATTTTTTTTTTCTTAAAGATTTTTATTTATGAATATAAGAACTAGGGTGTAGGCCAGAGGTGCAGGGATAAGAGGATTCATCAGAGACATGGGGAGCAGAACATATGGGTCTAGTCAAATACACTGCTGTGGAGAGCAGTGGGCAAGAGAACAGAGGTTTCTTGTGCCATATGGGTCTGTTACAGGACAAGGGAGAGGGGCACTCTAGAATCCCCAAACCTACCTGCTCTAAATAGGTTCTGCTGTCTACTGCATCAAGCAAAAATGAACTTTAATACAATCAGTGAGCAATACAAAAAAGGTAAATAATACAGTTTACAAATCAAGCACCTGAAGTTACCCATCCCCTCCTGCATAAATGTTTAGCCAAACAAGGTTGGCCCAAAGCAAGGCCTGAAGCTTGCCACAAGTCTAAGGCACCTTCTTGCGGGGACCCCATAGAAAAGGGTCAGAAACACTCAAGTCTGGGAGGAAAAGAGCAAAATCAAGATATAAAAGCTGCCATTGTTATCATCACCACAGGTTTCTCACCCACATGTTTCAACCATTCCAGGACCCAAAAAAGCAAGTGCAACTTCTTCACATGTCTCTGTTCTTTTTGTCTTAATAAAGTTTTTTGTTTGTTTGCTTGTTTTATGCATCTTAAGAACTGGGGTCTAGACCAGAGGTGCAGAAGGGTGAGAGAATTCACTAGAGACAGAGTGGGGAATAGCACAGGCAGATACACTGAAATACACTGCAAAGGTGCAGCAGGAGTGGTCTACTGTGCAATGTGGGTCACCTTCCTGGCCGGCGATTGGGCTCAACTGCAGTGGCTGTGATATATCTTCATAGTGCTGAGATATCACCCCTGTGCCACTAGGGAAGCCTCAGGTCTTCTTGCTCTCCATCCTGTTACTTTTCCAGTCTCCTCTCTAGCTTCTTCTCCCTACACAGCTCCAACCTCCCTTGGGTGGGGCAGGAAACACATTAATTTTGTCTATAAACACACAACCTTTATGCAAAACCCTTTGAAAATAATGTTGGCTATCTTGACACTTAATTCTTACTTTTCAATTCTTAAATACTTTCTCACCTGAGAAGTTAGCGATACCATATTTATCTCCCTGTGACATCTGCTTTTTCTTATTACAGCTGTTTATCATAGTAGACAAAGGTCATAATAGCGTCGATTATTATATTTAATGTTTTACTAGATTTCCCTGCTTTTGTCTTTGTAACTTTAACAAAATGCAAAAATAGAAGGCACATAATTAAGTGCATCCCATTATTAGTGATGCTAGTTGAATTACCTGATTATGGCTGTAACTGTCCTATTTTTCCATTTGAGAAGGGATTTCTACATTCCTGAGATTAATAATAAGCTATTGTGTGATAATGCTAGATAATGTAAGTATCTTGTTCCCAAAAAATCATTTTGTAGGTGATTTGGCATTCATTGATGAACCTTGCCTGTATTGGTTATTGCTACATTGGTGGTGGTAGAGTTGTAATTTTCTAAGTACATGATTCATACATTTATCAGCTACTGTTCTTATTGGTGTAAAGGAGAGCTCTCTTTTATTCATTGTAAATGACTCTCTTTAGAGGCAATAGAGGTTCATAGTAAATAGGATCAGAAAGTACGGAGTTCCTATATGTCCCTTGCCCAAGTAGCATATCTGCTAGTCAGTGAGCCCACATTAGCAACGTCATTATCACCCAAAGTTTATATTATTACCCATTGCTTACTCTAAGGTTCACACTCAGTAGCATACATTTTATGGGCTTTGACAAATGTATAAAGGTCCCATTTGTTTTAAACTTAAAGTATTTTAAACTTCAGGTTATAGGTGACAGTAACAATGTATATGCTATGTGTCAGGAATGCAGCACCGTCTGTCAGCATGCTGTTTGTTCTCATTATCTGAAGGGCTGTGTTTGTAGTACTGCAAATAAATGTAAGGAAGTTGAGACACTCAGTGTCGGGTCACTGTGTAGTAATAACAGAGCAGAGATTATATAAGTGACCTGCAGATGAGCAGTGATGTCCTGGAGCTGAGGCCCCGCCCTTCTTGCCACTATTTAGCTTTGTAATCATGTTTATAAGCAAACAGCTTTCCCTGTAAGTGGTGTTGAGGTGTAAATGGATTCATAACACACATCAAGTATTTGAGGATCCAGTGATACAGTGCTTCAGGAGTGTGGAGTATGCCCAGTGCTGCACAAAATGTACATTTTTTTAGAGGTTATTATCCATAATCATCTAATAACAGGAATTGTGTGTACATGAACCTTAAGCAGCTTCTGTAATCCCTCCTGAATACAATCAGTCACTCCAAATGTCTATTTCTATATGGGTTAGTACCAGATATAAGGGAGGAAAATTGCTTGGGTTGTAGCCTGTAGATGTTGCAGATGCTCATTCTTCATCATTTCAAGATGTACTTGAGAGTGGAGCATTTTACCTGGCAGTATGACTGAATGAAGATGTTTTCCTTACCCCTGAGCTCTTGGGGGCAAGAACTCACAGACTTGAATTCTGTCGTCTCTTTTACCTCCTAGGTCCCGCGGCAGTGCTGGTGGCCATGGTTCCCGTAGCCAGAAGGAACTGCCCACAGAGCCCCCCTACACAGCATATGTAGGAAATCTACCCTTTAATACGGTTCAGGGCGACATAGATGCTATCTTTAAGGATCTCAGCATAAGGAGTGTACGGCTAGTCAGAGACAAAGACACAGACAAATTTAAAGGTGAGTTTGGGGAAGTTCTTGAGGGGGAGGGTCCAAACTAAAATCTTAGTGAACCAGAGGGCTCTAATTGTGAAAGTGCTTTCAGTATTTGCCCTGGGCCAAGAAGCTGAAGCAGACATAGCTGCTCTACACGTAGGCCTACAGTTCTACTAGAGAAAAAATGTTTTAAACACCTGACTTGTAGAAATAAATGCATATGCCTATGTAAATCTGCTGTTTCCTGCTCTATATAGTAGTCCTGTCTCAGCCAGTGAAGGAGTTACGTAGAAGAGAAATGAACAGGTAAAACATGAGGACTTTCAGGTGCATTTATTTCACATTGGTGGGCTCATATATTTTTCTTGGTAGTTTTCCTCCCTGTACATTTGTGACTTCAGAGTATAAGAGAGGGATCAAATTGCAGAAAAAAGTGTATACATGAGCACAGGAATACGTGAAATGATCAGATCTGTGGTCTTTCCTTCAAGGTTTCCTGAAGGGAAATGTGTTCTGTTTTTTTGTGAATGATGCAAGGTACAGGACACCTGGTTTACCTTAGTTACCCAGAAGGGGAACAACTCAGGACCTAGAAGTGTTGCTCATTTGAATGGGTCATAGTATGTTTGTGAAAGTTTGTTGGGGTGTTTTTTTGTTTGTTTGTTTGTTTGTTTTTAAGATTTATTTATGCATACAGAACTGGGGTACAGGCCAGAGGTGCAGGGGTGAGAGGATTTTGTGAAAGTTTTTTTTTTTGACGTTAGAACCTGAAGCCTTGTTACAGTAAGTGATCAAACAGTAAAAGCAAAGTGATCAGACAGTAAAAGCAAATCACAGTAAGGTTTGTGAAAGTAAGTTCTATCCATTTTGCCTATTAGTAAACATTAGGAATTAAAACTTAGGATAAAACTGTGGATGAAGTCAGCTTTCGGACCGAGTTGGTAGCAGCACGTTTTAGTTGTATTCAGTTTTAGCACTGTAAATGAGCTGCCTGACTTGGCTTTTGCTGCTTTGAAAGTGCTTTTCTCTGTTCTTCAAAACATTGAATCTGCTTTGGCAGTAGGTGGGGAAGAAGGTCTGCTCTCTAGCAGTAAGTAAGGACATTCTTTGTAAGGACATAATGAACAGTTGGTGAATGAGCAAAGACTGGAGCGAGGTCTCAGAAGCATTTACATATAGTGGGCTTTGAGAGTAAAGATGTGATCACCAAAGTGGGGTGGGGGTAGGATATATAGTGTGAGCATATAGGAACAGGAGAGTACTTGCCCCAAATTTAGACTCTAGAGAGAGCAAAGAAGGGAGAGGACAAAAGTAGTGACAAGTAAAGTGGAAAGCTTATCCAGTGCTTTGAGGTGAGAGAAGAAGGTATGGTTTCCTTTGCTTGGATTGTTTTCTACTTGAAACCTATGTCAGAATCCAGCAACAGGGATATAGGTTGTTAGTTGTACATGCTTAATCCTGTACCGTTTGTCTTAAAATCCCAGGGAGCTTGCCTTCACTGCCGAGGGTATATATTTTTTCTTTTTCTTTCTTCTT